AAAATAAACTTACCATATGATCCAGAAAGCCCACTCCTGGGCATATACCCAGAAAAGACAAAAACTCTAATAAAAGATACATGTACCTGAATTATGTTCACAGCAGCACTATTTACAGTAGCCAAGACATGGAAGCAACCTAAGTGTCCATCAACAGATAAATTAATTAAGAAGATGTAGTATATATGTGCAATGGACTATTACTCAGCCATAAAGAAGAATAAAATATTGCCATTTGCAGCAACATGAATAGACCTAGAGATTATCAAACTAAGTGAATGAGTGAAGTAAGTCAGACAAAGACAAATATTATACGATATCACTTATACGTGGAATCTAAAGAACAATACAAATGAACTTATTTACAAAACAGAAACAGACAACAGACACAGAAAACAAAATTATGGTTGCCAAAGGGGAACGGAGGAGGAGGGATAAATTAGGAGTGTGGGATTAACAGATACTCACAACTATATATAAAATAGATAAAAAGGGTTTACTGCATGGCACAGGAAACTACAGTCAATATCTTTTAATAACCTATAATGGAAAAGAATCTGAAAAAGGATATATACATATATTTGTAGGTATAACTGAATCACTTTGCTGTACACCTGAAACTAGCACAATACTGTAAATTAACTACACTTTCATAATTTTTTTTTAAAGCAGGGTTTCTCTGAGCAAGTAGGTAACAAGAAGAATCGGTAAAGCCAACACGCTGGATTTTTTGATCAGAAGGAGATTTAATGATGAGGCTATTCCGGGCGGTCTGTGTGTTTGTAGGCACTGAAACGAGTTTCAGGAGATTTGGGACTCCATGTAGAGTTGAATCTTTAACTGGTTGTTTTCTCCTATACAGCTCCAAGCAGGGAGAGTTACAATGAGGTCTTGAGGGATAGATTTGGCCACCTGAGTCATGGAGAGGATGGGAGGACGAGGGAGGTCCAGGCGGGGGTGGGACAGGTAGTGGGTGGACAGAACAGAGGTCCACCGTGTGAGCTGAGGGGCCATCTGCCTACGGGCAGGTGATGAGAGGATAAAAGCCTAGAGGAGTCCAATGAGGCTTTCACCCTAAGGGAATGGTGACCTCCAGCAGCTTTCCAACATCCCTGAGATCGTCCATCACAGCAACGACTCCAAGTAACCGCATGTAAAACCAAAACAAAAAATGATCTTCCTTAAGACAGGCAAACCACAACTGCATTTCACAGCAATTCCACCTCAACAGTGAATCTTTCCTACTCGGGAAACCGGACCACTGGGTGAACGGATCCTCAGGTAGCTACTGAGGACCTCGGATGCCTCCTTTGGAGCAGATGATGCTTAGAAAAAAGGTTGAGTTAGTTCTTTACCCCAAAACACTGCATAAAGCAAATCACATATCTGGAAGAGACATATTTAGGGAAAAACAGAAGGGATAATTAAGAAGAGGGCAGAAAAGTCAAAACTAGGTGACAGCACAGGAGGAAAGAGGTTGGTGGCCTGAGGCACAGAGGGAAGAGCTACACGTGGTGTAAACTGTTACATCATCTCTTTCTATGAAAGTGTAAATATTCATAAGGCAATGGTAATGAAGGAAAACTGAAAAATTAAATGGCGTAGTGCTGAAATAGGTCAAATATAAATAGATTATCATCTGGAATGTGTAGAATATTAAAATCAGGTTCCTGGCAATAAACTTTATTTAAAAGAACATATATGTAAAGTTGAGGATGGCAGCCAAGTTTGTTTCTCAAAGACACGGAGGGGCTCCTCTGTTGCAGGAAATACTAAAATACCTTGTGCCCTCAGTTACATACTTGGAAGCGACGGAGAGTGAGGGGGAGAGAGGAGACAGTCAATTTCTGAGAAGGCTTCCAGTTTCTTTCTAAGAAGGCACAGCAGTGACTAAACACAGCAGCACAATTCTGGAACTTTCCTCTCCCTGCGGCTCGGAGGTCTTCTCCCACCTGCACTGGCCTCCCTTTTTTCATCTGCTGGATGAACCCCGTTGTCGTCGTCAAAAGTCGTCTTTAGGTTCTTAGCTAAAATGTCCTCATGTCCGGTATTGTAAAAAAGTAATTATTTTAAGAAGCTGATTTTGAAAAAAAAATTAAAGTCTCAAAAAGAGAGTTAAACACAAATCAACCTAGTAAGCATAAGGCTTCCACAATGATTACAAAAGAGAAGCCTTGTTTCTTTTTTCCCCCAGGGTGGGGAAGGAGGTAATTCGGTTGGTTTGTTTGTTTGTTTTTCTAATGGAGGTGCTAGGAACTGAGCCCAGGACCTCAGGCATGCTAAGCATGTTCTCTACCACTAAGCTATATGTTCCCCCCAGAAATCTTGTTTCTTTAAGATAAAAAGATTTTGTAAAAGGAGCTGGCAGTGTGTAAGTGTCACCAATTTATCATCACGAGGAAGCCAGACACTGTCCCTCAGAAGGAGCTTGTGAAACAAGACAG